ATTGAAATTGGCAACTTACAAAGTATCACTATTATAAAGTACAAATAGAGTATGTCTGACTCTTTAAATTTTAAGAACTAAACATACTCTCTATTTCAAAAAGTTAAAAATAAAGTTTATTGAAGCTTCATTTCAAGGATTTTAAAGAATCTTTTGATGCTTCTCTTGTGCAAAACTTTTAGGAGAGACACTCTGAAAAATAATAATCAAATGGAGGAAAAAAATGATCACCTAAAAATTTTTCGTTGATTACTATTGACTTTATTATTGTAGGTGATTTGACCAAAATTCTGAAACTCGTATAATTGATGATCATCAACACAACTCCAACATTTGCCAAATGAAATATCGTCAATAGTACTACAGTCATCGATTAAGAAAAAGTGTTGCCATCACCCAATGGAATTTTATTCATTTACTATCATTGTCGTTATGAAAAATCAACGGAAGTAATACTAGATCGATAACTTAAGATATCATTTATTTTTTATTTATAATATTAATGTTAGATAAGTTTATTTTCATAACTATTAGGGTATGTTTGATTGCAAGTATTAAATTTATATGGAAAGAAAATAAATTATAAACAATTGAATTGATTAGAAATTATTTGCATGTAAATTGTTAATTAAATGTACTTGATTGATTTTATTTCCAACCTAGAAAATGATACTTTTTTTTTTTTTTGGAATGTAGATGGGAAAGAGGATAAGAGAGAAAGAGAGTGAATAATCTGGAAAATAAAACATACCATTCTTAAAGAAAATATTGTTCCTGTTTTCAAAGAAAATATGGTTACGTTGCCAAAAGTAGGAAAATACTTTCCATGGTAAAAAAACTATTAATCTAACAGCATAAAAGTAAAAAATTGGGTGGAAATATGACATTTTTCATAAAAAATATTGATAATCAAACGCACTTTTATTTCATTACCGTCAAAATTTTATAACATTAGTATTTAATATTTATGTTTTATTAAGTTATTTAGAGCAAAATTTCCGTTGATAAAATAAATTTAAGAACATATTTATTTGTTAATATCATAAACTAGAATATATTTCGTAATGTTGAATTTTTTAATTGAGTTAATTCATTAAATGTGATATTTTGGGGACATATCAATATAAGCTTCTAGAATTTTTAAAGGGTGTGTACTTAATCGGGACTTTGAAAACTTTTATGGACTTTTCTTTTAAGTGGTGATTTATTTGGTGGACTTTTTATGGATTTATTTGAAATTAATGAAGTCTTTCGTAGAGTTTTATAGACTTTCATTTAAAGCTTTTTTAGACTTTTATCGAATTCAAATTTTTTTTGAAAACTTTCATTTAAATAGAATTTGCGTGGGTCTAGAACAACATTGTAAATTTCTCAAATACGAGATATTGATTCACACAAGTCCCCTCCGCCTAGAGATGAAAATTTTGCTACTAGACTTGAGCCGTCCATGATTCGGCTCTAAAAAAGTCCGAGCTGACTCAACTCGAGAACCAAGCCCCATTTTGAGGCATCAGTACGAGCCTGAGCTTGAGCCAGCTCGTATGGCTCGTCAGTTTTGGTTATTTTTAGCTAGTGACGAGCCAACCTAAAAAAATAAAAAATAAAAATAATTTGAAATGATGTAGCTGCCTTTTGAGGCAGCACAAGCCACTTGCACAAAAGCATCTACTTAGCTGCTCGTGTTAAAAAAAATAAAAACAAAATAAAACAAAACACGAATCGGCTTGGCTCAGCTTGATGAGGCTCGAGCCAAAAGTTCAAGTTCAGCTTAAGTTTTTTTGCTTGACTCAACTCAGCAAAAAAATTCTCGAACCATTTTTACTAAAGTCGAGCCCGAGCCCTGAGTTTCGGCTCCCAAACTGGCTCGATTCAACTCGTTGACACCCTTACTTCCACCTCCGTATGCAATTAAAATTATTTGTGAAAGAATATAAATTAAAATAGACTTAATTAAATAAATAATAATCAATATATAGTAAACAAGAAATTAGGGTCGGATAAAACTTACGAACCGATTTGAGCAGTTCTTCATAAGTTAAATATTCGGACGGGTATTTGAATCGAGAACCGATGAGTTCAATTCAGATCAAGAACCGAATAAACGAATAAGAAACGAATATTTCTAATTTTTTTAATTAATTTATTTTAAATAAGCCAAATTATTTTTTTCTAAATAAATTTTCTAACTAGTTAATTTAGCTCAAACCAAAAAATATAATTTTCCTATTTTTAATTTTTAGTTCAAAACCAACTTATTCAAATTGATCTAAATTTTATTCAAATCTGTTACTCTATCGTAGTACCGTTTCTAATGTTCTAGAGAAATCGAATTAGAGCTCAATAATGCATCTCTTAATTATTTTAACCTCGTTATCTTCCTCTTTCTGTGTCTTTAACAATTAAATTTATGAAGAACTCAGTAAAGAGAGATGCATAAGATATATAAAATTGAACTACGTTATTTCATAAGAGATAAGATTGAACATATCATTAGTTAAATTAATTTAGTTTTGTAAATATTAAAAATTTTAATTATAATACGAAACTTGGGAATTGAATCGAACCAATCACGAATAATTCCATAATTAAATTTAGACCCTACGGTTTCACTTACTAAATACTCGATAATTTTGGGTTCGGTTCGATTCTTGTTAGAACCGGATCATGTCCAACCCTACAAGAAATCAATATATTTAAATTTAATTATAAATTAGTTTTTTTATATAAAATCTTATAATTTGAAATTACAAATAGAAATTTTTCATAAAAAGAAATGATGAAGAACAAAAATAATTATAGGAATCTTTAATTATAAAATAGAAAATAGAGATTAAAAAAAAAAGGAAGAGGAGGAAGAGGAAGAAGAAGAAAGAGAAAAAATGAAAAGAAAAATAGATTAGTTAAAATTTAATTTTTTTCATAGAAAAAAGAGAGGAAAAAATAAGAGAGACACAGAGAGAAAAAATAAAAACAAATATAACTAATTGAATCAAATAATTTTTATTCATGTCTCTGATGTTCATAGAAGGGAAAAGAAGAAATATTGAAATAAACGAAAAATGCATATTAAATTTTTTTTTTTTGAAAGCCTCCCAAAATCTTGGGATGAATGATTGACAAATTTTGAAATTTTATTTTAATACTTTATGCTTAAAAATCAGTACCCTAAAGACTTTTATAAAAGTTTTTAGAAGTTATTAATAATTTGAATACTCCAAGATTTTTAGAAACTTCTAAAAAAATTTAATTGAATACATCGTGACTTCTAAAAACTTTTTAAATTCCAAAAAAATCTTTTAAAAGTTGCAACTAAATACACTCCTAAATTTCATTTGCAGTTACTTAGCTATATCTCTACAGTTGTAACTCAAGTAAATTTTATTAATGTGCATGTTCCCATTAAAATTTGTCAGCATAAGTTATAATTGATTGGAAATTCTATGTTTACTACAAAGGGTGTGAACTACTTTTGTTGTCACTTTGTATTTGACAAGAAATTCAAAGTATTCATCAATTCAGTTTCAACCCATCTATTGTCTTCTTCTGATTATGGACGCATAACAATTATATTTACGTAAGGCCGTTGTTGGCGTTATGTCATCAAATGCCATGCACTTGTGGTGCGTTTCAATTGACACGCATTGTTAGTCTTTTAACTTATTCCTTTAATTTTTTTATAGATGTTGAGACGGAGCTCCCATTTGGCCCCCATTTTTTCAAATTAAAATGGGTAGAATAATATATATATATATATATATATTTTTTTTTTGTTTGTTTTTTTTTTTGGGAAAAATGAGTGATTGAAAAAGAATGAAAAGTTTTCAATTTGTTTAAACCATGCATAGTAAATTTGTTTAAAGTGTTGCATCTGGGATGGAGTCGGTGAACAAATTACTTCAGTAGCAGCTTTAATATCAATTTTATACCCACTCAAAGCATTCATAACAATTGTAACATCCCTTGATGCTGGATCAAGCATCCAAAGCAAGACCGCCCTCTAAAATCATTTGGGGGTAACAATTATACACCTGACTATTCTATACACAAGTAAAAAATAGACTTCGTCAACTAAAATACGTCCAAAAGATTTTCAAATATTCCATTTACGATCAGATGCGTCAATCCTGCCAAGAAAAGATTGAAGATTATCATACAGAATGACAATACTATTGCTATATATCTTTAGTACCTTGACATCATGGCCAAGTTCTGAAGCTAGGCGTTTCCTAAGTTCTTCAGAATACATAGCTCTATACTCTTGTTCAATGAACGCGCTCTGTGTTGCATCTCGATGGGCATTGATATGAACCACCGTTGCAATATCACATCAAAAACCTTAAAACAAGAGTTTAGAGGCTTGCAGCAATCAAATGCAGGTCAGGATATACAATTTAAATCATAGACAATTCAGAAAACTGAAAGAAATCTGAGTAATGGAAGTTTATTGAGGAAATTCACATATAAATAGAGAAACGAAATCCAAAATATCATTAATCAAGAGTTATGTAAAAATTGTTCTTACAATGGTTAGTTTAAATTTATTCTTTTGTTAAGAAATTATGTCGCTTTGTAGAAAAGCAGAGAAAAATTGTGCTTTTATTTTGTAGAAAACTTATAGTGGTATCAAATTCTAAGATCGATTATCCAATTAATATATAACTCTTTTTCCATTCTCAGAAAAGCGCAGAAACTCACACAAACACGAGGTTGTCAATTCAAAATAAGAAAACAAACCTCTAAATTTTGAAATTAAGAAAACAATAACCAAAATTTTTTTACGTGATCACGAAAGAGAGAACAATTTCGTTTCGCGAACCATAACACACAAAAAAAGGAACTATAGGAAATTGAAGAAAACAAAATATTAAGAAAATACCTTAAAAGCTTTGCGAAGCTTCGTAGCATCATCACAAGCAGAGCCGATTTTAAGCCGGGCAAGTGAGGCCCTTGCCTCAGGCCCAAAAATTCAAGGGCCCATTTTTTTATTTATTAAATGCCTTGTCCTGGTTGCAAGAGGCGTGTGGCGAAGAAGAACACAAGAATGCCCAGAGAAATTGAGAAGTGAAAGGCAAAAGTAAAACTCACATTACCCAGTCGTCCGTCGTGCCACGCCATTGCTGCAGCTTGCCTGCCGATATAAAATTTGATTTCTATGTATTCCTTCTTCTCTTTTTTGCATTGAAAAATTTCTCAGATAGTGGATTGAATTATTCTGTCGTTATTTGGAATTTGGAAACAATTAACTCGGTCTCAACGATACACTGTTTGTGGCCTGTTCATAATTTGGTCTGTTACGAATTGCGATGTGATGATAGCTGGCTGGTGGTGTGGTGATTTTCCGATATGATTTGCTTTTACGTTGCTGTCCTTGTATTTGTGCTGGAATAAAAAACATGGTTCTGTCAGTGTTATGGGCTTTTTAACACGAAATTTGTGAAATAGGATTTTATTTTGATGCAACTGATTTTTTGTTTTGTATAATTGAATGATTAATTACAATGCCCTTTTCTTCCACTGGGTTGTTTCTAGATACGTGGATCGCTGTTAAGGGTAATATCCCTCTTAGATCATATATATGAAAATAATATTTTAAGATGTAATACTACTTAATAATAATGATACCAGGAACTTGTCAATGTTGATCTATATAGCATCATTTTTGAGATTCTTTCCTAATATATTGTTATTGTCATAAGATTTATTTGACATGATTCTGGAGAAATATGCATAAATAAGTGTATATTAGGAAGGATAAGCGAATGATAATATAGTGTAAAATAAGTGTTCTTGTTGTAGTTTCAACTTTCAAGTGGTGTGAAAGAAATATCTTTGACTAATAAATTTTGATAGTTCTCTTTGGTCATTGGCAACACAAATTTAGTTTTTTACCCTTTCATTATCAATCAACCCCATCAAATTTCTTGTTTTAGCTGTTAATTGGAAGGTTCTTTACCTATTCGTTTAATGATTCTTGAGTTTTTCTTTTATCGATTATGCAAGCATATTTTTTATGCAAAACGGGAGCTAATGGATTATCATTCTTTTTTGGAGTGTGAATATGACCCCTTAAACACTTCTGTGACTCTGTCAATTGGCCTCTATTCGTGATGATCAGCTGGAGATTGTTCGTCTGATATATTAGTACGGAGTTATTAATATTTTGAATCAATGTTGAAATTACAGTTCTTACGGAATCATCGGTAGATTTGTTATACTTCTCGTCAAGGTTTTTAGCTCATCCTTTCGCCATTGCATTTTAAATTCTTCCATTAATAGTTTTAATTGTTAATTATCCTATATGCGTCCTTTGAGGCTTTGTGCACATCAATGCAAGAAACTACTCAAAAATTATATGGTTCTATGGTACTTTTGTTACCATATCAATTCCAAGATGTATGTTTCCAGCCATAACTTTTACATTAAGCATTGATGAGGGAAATCTTCCTTCAAGAATAATTTTTATCCAAGTGTTGTTTTCATCGAAGTGGAAGTTTCTTTAGAGTTTTTTTGTGGTCAACCAACAATTATATTATGTAGGATCAGCCCAATAGGAGTTGAGATAGAATGTTCCCTTTTAGATATAGCCTATTATAAAGAGGATAGTAGTTAGTTATTATTATAATAGGATTTATGTTTCCTTTTATTTCCTTTTTAGGATTTTAGTTTACTTTCCATTTCGAATTTTAGTTCTGTTACCTTATATTTAAGGGAATTATTTCAATAACCAATTCTTTACAATAATCTTTATTTATTTATTTTTTAAACATATTTTCAAGGTTTTCATTTTTCAAATTTATTTTTGTTATAAAATTTTCAATTTTGCTTCCGCACCACTTTCTTTGAAGTCACTAAGAAAGTCTTGTGTGCTGCAGGCAGCAATGAAAGATAATTTGACAAAATCCAGTACTCATGTCACCAAAGGCAAATCAAAACTTAAAATGGTAATATTTATTTTTTCCCCGAGATTACACCTGAAGGAGTTGATTTTCCTTTTTCTACTGTCACTAAGAAGCCTTCTGTGTTGCAGGCAACGAAGAAAGATGATGTGACCAAAGCAAGAACTTGTGTCACCACAGGCATTTCAGTTGGCAAAAATCAATCTAATTCGTCTACTTTTAAGGGACAAAATGTTTTCTCTAAGGCCACTGGGGGAGGGAAAAGAATTTTCGGTGAATCCATCTTCACACGGCGTTCTAAAGAAAAGTTGTGAATCAAATATACCCGATTCAGAAGATGAGGTGATGCAACAACCGATAGAATTGTTAGGAGAGTTTCACAACCATGAACTTTGCTGCAAGAACCGAAAGAGAAGGATGGAAGAGAGTTTATTGATAATTAATTGTAGTAACAGATTAAATCCTCAATTTTATTTAGTTTTTGTTCTGTCTAGTCCACTAACTTCCACTTTCTGGTGTCAGATATTACTGATCGCGAGTCTCCATCTCCATCACCACCACAGTCAGTGGTAATATCTTCATCATGTTCATTTTTCTCTAATATTCTTGTAGTGCATGATTTTTAGTCACACAGTTTATTATATAGAATATTGAATACTACAGCTGACAAGACTTATTTATTTCGTTTTAATCTTTAATGTCGTTCAACATTTTTTTCTCCCAAATTACCTGCAAAAGCAAGAAATATTTTGGCCTTCACCATTTTTTTTTAAAAAGAACACGTTAGGTGTAACTTGTTAACTTTAGTGCATTTTTGGCACATAAATTAGACAAGATTGCATGCTTTTAACTTATCTTCATCGTTAATGATATCCATTCAACCTCCAAACAAGTAATGTTTTGTCTTATTACTACGCTATAATAGCATCTGATATAATGACTCTTAAAACTAACTCTTAATCATTCTGTGCAGATTTTGGAGCAAAAAGAGGAACTTAGAAAGCTGTACCAAGTCTTAAGAGGAGAGAAGAACGGCTTTGGCACCTGAATACCCAAATGACTTTCTGGTTAGTGCCATGTCTCCTGTTTTCATAACCGAGTCAAAGGGAGCAAGCACACTCTAGGAGGACCGTATTTGGGTTTGAAGCTGAGAGAGGTCTGATGAATCCTTGATCATCTCGCGATCTATGTATTTGGACTACATTGTGATGTTCTTCATTACTTTTGCAAAGACTGCTTATGATCCCTTGTGATTTTGTTCTCCTTTTAGATGAAGTTTGTCGTTTAGTCAAAACTATTTGACTAATAACCCTTAATTCTCTGTGTAAATGTTTTATCTAGTTTGACTTTACTACAAAAATCTGATGTATCATACGGGCAATCTCTGGCTGATGTTCATCAAGATCAGAGGCCGATTGACAAAGTCACATGAGTGTTTTGGAGGTCATGTTCACACTCCCAAAATGAATGATAATCTCTCAGGAAAATAAAAATCACCCGACTTTTTAGATAAAATCTAATTTTTCATATTTGTCGAAAGTTTTTTCTTTGTTTTTTTATTCATCTTTGACCAAGATCATAAATGATAAAAGAGAGATTATGATACCCATATCTATATCTATGTATTAGTTAGAGTTGCGCTGCGCTGGGCTGGTTTGGGTTGGACAAAATTTTTGAATCGAACTGGACAGAATCGAACAAAGCGATTATTCTTAAATATCTGAACGAGTGTCGGAAACGAGAATCAATAGGTTAGATTTGATTTTCGGTTCTAGATTAATAACCGAATAAGAATCAAATCTTCCTAATTCTTTTTAAATAAGTCAAATTATTTTATTTTTTTAAATGAATTTGTTAATTAGTTAATTTAACTTAAATCTAAAAATATGATTTTTCTAATCTTAATATTCTGTTCAAGTCAAACTTAATCAAATTGACCTAAATCTACCCAAATTAGTTGTTTTTATCATAGTGTCGTTTCTACCGTTCTGAATAAATCGAATTGAAGCACGACAACTCATATCTTAATTATTGTAAACTCGATACCTTCATTTTCATGTGATTTTAACAATCAAATTTATGAATAATTTAGCAAAGAGAGACGCAAAAGACATATAAGATAGAACTACGTTATTTTGTAGCCGTTAAGATTGAATACGTCATTAGTTGAATTAATGTAACCCACCCTAGTATTAGTAATTTAACAGACTAAAGTTATATTCAACTAATTAAAGAAGACAACTCCACATGGGTTATATTTATTATCAGATGCACATGCCTTTTGTTGGTCGGCAGTGGGTGGTTAATAGGTGGCTAGGGGCGATGAGTAGAGTTGATAGGCAGAGGCGAGCGCGAAATTTTATAGAGTCGTGAATGAAAGAGGCGTGAAAGATATGACTATGATTTATAAGGTCTCTTTTCCTTATACAATTTAAAAAAAAAAAAATAATAATAAATTAAAACGTGTCTATTTAAAATATGCAAACGAACAAATATTATAATATCTTAATTGAGACCCTGCGTATTACTTTAATTTACGCCGGCAACACTTCTAGGACAAAATTCAGAATAAATAAATACACTCTGGTCTTGACTTCTGATAAACAAAAAATGTACTTGAATTTTTTGCAATTATTCTTGTCAAATACATATTTTTAAATTGTAGACCAAATATTCAAAGGGTATATTGTGGACCGTGATACTTGTACGGGAGATTTCTCCCTATACAAGTGGAATTACCCATTATGCTTAGCCAATGTTTGTCATCTATTAAATAGATTTTATATTTATATTTTTATTTTTATTTATTTATTTTAAGAAAATGGGTTATGGAATAGCAATTTTTTTTATAGCTAAATTGTGATCAACTACTATACCTATGAATGCAAGACAAAAATTTGACTCAATTCAATTTAAGATTTTGATTAATGCAAATTTGATGAAAACATAATGATGAAATAAGTACTATCCCTTATATCAATCCCTTTAATCTCAAATTTTATAATTTGACAATATGATTCAATTATGAAAATCAATATTCCTAAATAGTTTAATAATCTCTCTCGAGTATAATTAAATCTACTTTTACATGTGAACAGACTATATTTCTATGACGGATGCGAATATACAAGGATACATTATGGATATGTGAATACTTAAAGATCACATAGAGTATAGTGGAACATTTTTTATCCCTAACGAATTCTACGATAATTGATATTATGTCTAACTTATTTTTAATCTTTTGAAAGTAAAGCAAATCACGAAACTCATACAACTATTGCGCATGTAATTATAAAGAAGAATAAACTCATGTCAATCATTTAATAATTGAAAACATGCTTTAAATATCAAGAATAAATAAAATCAAGAGTTAAATATTCATGATATAGATTCATCGTAATCTTAGCCCTAGATTACTTTAGTTTAACATATTGTGTAGAAGCAAACAAAAAAATAAAAATAAAATTGTTCATCACTTATAATTCTTGAATTTGATCTTTGATTTCTTGAATTCGATCTTTTACTGTTCGCCTCTTTTTGTAATCAATTGTCCCACCTTTACTTAGAGTTAATATGTTCTATTTATATGCTCAAAAGTCTCCAAGAAATCTTCAAAAACGTCTAGGAATTGTCCCAAGAAGAATGAGTCATTGTTGGAGAAGAATTTATAATGAAAAATGGATCCTTTCACCGATTGCCCCGGGCGGTCGCTCAGTAGAAAACCAAGCAATCGCCAAGGAAAATCAATTCGTCCATGCTTTCGAAATTTCAAGCGAGGCGATTGTCCGACAATTATTGCTGGGTGATTGCCCAGTTATGTCATATTTCAATTATTGCATTTTGGTCACCTTCTTCATTTTTTCCTTCATTTTGGCCATTTTCTTCAAATTATGCATATTTTGATCCTTCAACTTCTTCTCATGTGCACATTAGTCCCCAAACCTTCCATCTGATCATCAATTCTTCAATCCTTTTTTTCTTCTTCTTATGAATGGGTCCAAAACGTAAACAAGAAGAAATTAACATAAGTTAGGTAAAATTTAATAGTTTAACGATATAAAATTTGGTCCGGATAAGTGCACAAAATGCACATATCACTTCTCATAACCATGCTTGAATAGTTGAGCTGCCAAAAGCGACTTTGAGGTGTTTGCATCAAAGTTTTCTGCCATCGCAGCAATCTTCCCATATATAATATATTCAGCAAACTTGATCACATAAAGACTGCATGGTTGCATCATTGTGAAAAAAAATTAAGTTAGGTGTTACAAACTTAATGTGGGAAACAAGTTGAGCGTAGGATTGTCAACGTATGTGTAACTATAAAAAAATGGATATATCTCTATGTAACCTTACATTGAAATGAATATTGTAATAAACCAGTGATTGATTACGTACTCATCCCTTGTTTGTTAGACTCCTAAATATTAATACTAACCATCAAATATGGTAGAAAACATGCAAGGGCCTCCACAATGGTGATAATCATCCTGTCTCTCATTGTTAGCCCCCGTTTGGTCCCCATTTTGTGGAAATGAAAATGGCTGGAATCGTGTTTTTTTTTTTTTTTTGAAAAATGAGAAGATGAAAAAAGACAAAAATTTTTCGATTTACGTGTAATATTATTTTATAAAAAATTGTACGGTTGAAAATAGAAGAGAGAGAAATGAAATGTAGTGGAATTGAAATTAATGGGGGCTGATTGGCTTAAATTATATATGTAGAAAGATCTATCTTTGATGTTGAAGTGAGCAAGAATCCAATGTACTTGTCCATCATTATTGGAATGAGGACATGGTCGACGTCAGACCATCATGCGTTGCAGTGCATATAATGTCCGTTCACATCTTCCACCAGTGATTTGAAGTTTGATATTATACATACATCATGCGTTGCAGTGCATATAATGTCCGTTCACATCTTCCACCAGTGATTTGAAGTTTGATATTATACATACATCATCCATGCATGATTTGTATGTGGACCGAACCATAGAACCGAAGAAGGAATCGACCATTGTACATCTGTTCGATATCGGATTGTTGAATTTTAGCATTTCCACAAGTAATAGAAATACACATTTAAGTGCTGCAAGTGAGATGTCCAGAGAAGTTAAAATAAATTCGAAGCATATTAAGTGCTTCTTTGTGCTCCATTATTTGAGTATAATTATTATGAAATAGTGATTGATATTGAAATGTGTGGTTAAAAAAGAAAGAAATTTTTTTGATTTACGTGTAATATTATTTTAATGAAAAATGTGTGGTTGAAAATAAGTGCTGTAGAAAAAATAATGTAGTAAAATATGGAAAAAAAAAAGGATGACAAACAAAGCCTAAATTTAACTGAGCATAAAAAGAAATTCGAAACTTAATTGATTTATTAACTGAGCATAAACACATCACATGCTTACTGAGTCCCGGAGGAATACATTTTGTTGGTATAGCTCGTGCTACTTGGTGTCGGTAACGTAAAGTGTTAAATATTTGTTCAAAATCAATGGAATGATAATGAACTAATTGTTGGGCTCAATTGTGGAATTAGTAGAATCTAAACAAATTGAAAAATGAAAATTTTGATTTTTTGCATATGCGTACGCACATGCTTAATTTCATGCATACACGAGATGTGTTTTGACAAAATCAGAATTAAATTTTGCTTCTACTATGCGTACGCACGATTTATACTATGCGTATGCATAGTGTTAAAAAATAGCCGTTGGCTGATTTTTCAATTTGAAACTTTGGAGCCGTTTTAGATTAAAAGTTGTCACTTTTCATCTTGTTTTGACACCATTTCGTGATGTATTATTGAGACCTATAAATAGGTGATGAATGATCAATACAAACATTATTAGAATCATTGAAAATATCTTGAGATCCATAAATCATTCCATATTGAATCAAACTATTGATTTACATTCATATTCAAGATCTTCCTTTGTGTTCTTAAAGTTTTGGAGGATTGCACTTGTACTTTGGTGTTAAATCCTTTACAAGGCTTGATATAATCCTACAAACCGTTTACCAAAACTCTTAAGCATCTCATTCAATCGCGAGAGAGACAAATATAGTTTGAGGACAACAATTCCGTATTCAAGCCTCAAATTCGTTCTTGACGTATTTCGTGATTTCTATTCATTTTGTTTCTATAATTTTGTTGTTGTTTCTTCTCCAACCTCTTATTTTCCAACAATCTCAAACTATATTTTGCGATGGAGAATGATATAACTATGGCAACCATCAAACTCATGAATCAAGATTTGGTTAGATTGGATCGTTTAACGGGACTACTTTACGCGGTGGCAAGACAAGTTGAAATTCCTCCTAACGGCGTTGAAGATTTTTTATATTCTTGATCCAGATTTGGCGGCTTTGCTGGAACCAACGAATGGAGAATTCGAAGCAATCAAGACCGAAAGACAAAAACGCCAAGAAGATGAAT